CACTGGAACCCGGGGACTATTATACCACTGATGTTCGCACTTCAGAATGAAGAACCCGGAAACCAGTGCAGAACATCACATCCCGATGACCCTTCATGCATTTTAGCTTGTGTATTACCCTAAACTGTGCCGTGAATTGCTCATTTGAAAATAAATGTTGGACGCGGCTGTTCATTTTCCTTAAGGTCTCATGAGTCCTAGTCTATACTGGGCGGTAGGAATTCTAGGGATGCACTTCTGACAGGACTGAACTCAGTATCCTAGGCTACCTTCCCTGTGGTGACAAACCAACTGTTATCTAAAGAATCTGTGGTTTCCCAAGTTCCACATTATACACTGGATGGGGGGCAGGTAGGCAAGTCATGTGGACAAAATTCAAAATACTGTGCAATCATCTAGGTCCTTCCTCATAAGCTATAACTCTCAACCAACAGTACAGGTATGGTCCCCAGCTTAACCGTGGTTCCGCTTGCGATGTTTCAGCTGTATGTCTTGTAAAAGTGGTATCGATTCCATAGAAAGCCCACAAATCTGAGGTGATTTTCCCCCCAGGCTAATGATATGTAGTATGATATTGTCTCAAGCTGCTGCACAATGGCAGTAGGCTACAGCTCCCACTGGGCCACATGTCACACAGCAAACAGCCAATGCTTATCGCGCATTGTTATATTGTGATGACCAATAAATATATCAGGTGCATCACAGACTCCATCGGCTTATAATGTTTTCAGTGTAAAATAAGTCTATAAGGACATATCAGCATGATAAGTCTGATGACACCAATATACAGAAAGTAGAGTTTAAATATAAAAGAGCCCTTCTAAATTTGGCAAGCGAAATCGGCAAGAATACTTGAAGAATGGAAAGGATGGAACATTTTTTAAAATATCTGTGAAATACTGAAAGCATACTTTGAAATTAGTCTTTTTGAAATGCAAGTGCTAAGGGTAGACATTTCTGCCTTTGTTTTGTGGGAGGTGGATTTAGTTTCTTACCTCTTGTTTACTTATAAAATTCAGATACCTAGTCCAGCTAGGACAGTCATAAAGCAGGATTATCATGTGCTCTTTAGTAGCTATTGAGTGAATTAAAGCAGCTAGCATTAGTGCTCTGAGCCGTCACAGTTGGTGCTTTCCAGTGCTTCTGTTGGAAGCCATGTGCAGTATGTGGTTGTGGGGAAAGGATGTATGGGTGCCAGTTGGGTTTAGATTCAGGCACGAGCTAGGCGCATCCTCTCCTTTTATTGCACACCTGAAGAAAGCAGTTGCTCCTGTGCCACCTCTTCTGTCTGTTTTGCCACCTGAAGTAGCTAGCCCCTTCTTCACAGGGTTCTGAAAGTGTTCCGTCCTCTGTACCCGAGTCGCAGGTTATCTCACTGTGCTCCTCTTAATGACAGAGGGAATATGAGCCTATCCAAAGTGCATAAGCTTGCCAGAGAACATCAAATCAGGTCGGATCTGTGTCATCATTTTCGATTTATCCGTGGTCTCAACCATGGGCTTCTGACTTGAAGAGAAACCCCAGGTACCACAGTGTCACGAGACAGCACTCACCACAAGTCCCTGTGCGTCCTCGTCACTCCACTTTTAAACAACACTGTTCGTAGTTTTTCCACTCACACGAAGTCGCTTCTCCACTTTGACATTTCGCTACTCTTGGAACCCTCCACTTGGCACGGATTATTTAGAAACTTATTCCAGGGGTTTAGGAGTAACCAGCATGTCTTTATCACTTGGAGTTATTGTGGGTTTCTTTTTTAAAGTCCCATTTCATGAATTTCAAAAGTAGCATTTACATAATATAAAATAAATCCATCAGCTGTCTTAACCCAGCCATGAACCCTGGACTTCAGTAATGACTGGTGTGATAAGATATGTCCTTGGCATTCGTATTATGGGATTAAACAAGTGCTTTCTGGTTTGATTTAAGATCCTCTGCACAGTAGAAAACAATGGCCAGTGCTGAAAATCTAGCCAATAAAATAATGCTATTATTTTGCTCAATGGACATAGTATTAAATCTTCCTCTAATGCTGCATCTAAAAGTAGAGTTCTCAGACATGGTCAGTGACATTTATTTGTGCAGTGGTAGTGGTTCACACACAATTCACAGCTGGTCGAAGTGTAAAGAATAATTGACTCTAGAGCAGCGATTCTCAACCTGTGGGCCGCTATTCCACTGGGGGTCAAATGACCCTTTCACAGGGGCCACATATCCTGCATATCCTATATTTACATTACGATTCACAACAGTAGCACAATTACATTAGTAAAGTAGCAACGAAAATAATGTTATGGTTGGGGGTCAGCACAACATGAAGAACTGTATTAAAGGGTCTAAGCATTAGGAAGGTTACGAGCCACTGCTAGAGAGCACACAGCTGCAAAGAAAACAGCTGTATCTCTCCCTTTCCCAAGGCTCGGGGATCATTTTAGATGATAAGTGCCAGAGGTCAGAGAGGAGTCCATCAAAACAGTGTCTTCTGGACGTGGCGGGATGACTGCACTCCTGAACTCAGTGGCTGTGGTTGCTGCTCAGAATCAAGCCAATCAACATTGTAGCATTGTGCGGGGAGGCATTCATAAGCCCCAACTCCTAACTAAGGAGCTACGGGCAGCTGGTGGCTTCTGATGAAGATTTAGGGATGATGCTCCTGGTAAGCTAGCCACACTCCGGTGGACGGGTTCACACCGATGATTATATGAACATCTCATAACAAATTCCTAGGTCCTAGATGAAATCTTTTTTTCTACTAGTATCCTGTTACTGTTACTATGACTCCTACTCTGCTAAACAGACATAGTACTCCACCAACTTCTGATGACTATTGCAACCTTAGATTGATGCTTCTCTCAGTCCTCATCAGAGAAACTACTTCTTTCAGTAGGTGCAGTTAACATGGAGACTCCCAAGAGTCAACGTGCAGAAAAGAGATTGCAGAACGCTCAGTGCTGAATGGCACATCTGTACTGCACCCCTCCTCCCAAAACTCAGCCTCTTTGAGGGAGACGGCAGGGAAAGAGCCTAAGAGGAAGAGATGGTGGGTGGCTATAAAGGACAGTGTCTCTTCATACAGCAGGATGGCTGCCTGTAAGAACCCACCATGTTGTAACAGTATGTTCGAGAGCTGTACAACCTCAAGTCATACAGAATTCCAGCATGGAGAAGATAGGTGTACATGAAGTCTCACCCCTCAGCTAATAGCTACTTAGAGTAAATTGGTCTGTTTCTTTAACTGGGTAGCATCTGGTAGGTCACCCACACTCTTTCGGTAGACCATACATCCAAGGGTATAGAGGAATCACAAGTTTCCTTGATGGGTTTAAAGAAAAGAGTATTCAAAGTTGGATGGTTGGGGAAGTAGAGATGGATCTGGGGTGATTTGGAGGGCAGTAAATTGAATCCAAATATAGCAAATTCTCAAAGAACAAATACAAGTGAGAAAAAAGAAAAAGGAGTGGATAAACTAAAAAAGTAATGATCTAATCATTTCTTTAAGGCACAAACAGCCCTTCATGGCAAAATATTGTCTGCATTTGAGAACTTGCTCTAAATATAATGTTTAATGTTTATTGGATAAATGAATTAGTCTAGAATGGACTCTTGTGCTGACTTTACCATGACTAGCGCTGTCCTGATCTTTTAGCATTTCTTGTTCCCTGTCTCACACAGAGAAGATCACGCAACTGACAGAAGCCTGTCCCTGTGTTTCCCATCTCTAATGCAAATATCCTAACAGGGAATAAAATCCTAGAGCAAGATTAGTGGCCAACGAAAGTTTCTCGGGCTCTTTACTTTCAGCATGTCTGCACTACACACTTACATATATTTCAAAACAGGGAAAATAATATAGATGAAAGTCTATACTACAAATGAAGTCTTACTCATGTCAAGAAGGCCTAGATTCTGTGCTGTAGACATCACTCAAGTCAAATCGGCATTGGGAGTAGTAACATCTGTAAAGAGATGGATACGTTACAGGATGCTGTGCCTGAAGAGGGGAACCCTCACCCAACTGTTGCAAGAGTCGTAAACACAAAGCAAGCACACACTCTGTCCACTTCTCTTCCCATTGGCAGTGGCCAGTGCTGTCCTCATTTCTAAACTGCTATTAGCAGCATTTTTAATTTATAATTTTCTGATTAAAGATATGGGGTGCTGTTGACAATGGCAGGTTAAAATGTAAAAAAGGGAGATCTAGTGAGCTCCCTTTCATGTCTGTAGCATGAAGCTCCTTTCCCTCTACCATCTGACCTTCCTTTCTTTGTCCACTTTGGGACATTGATTGGCTGTGCACTTTCTGGCCTGACTTTCTGATCGCTTACGTGGCATTTCTGCAGTCTCACCGGCCTGCTTGAACTCTACTGGCCACTCAAACCCATCTGATGTCTGCCTGCTCGCGGGTCTAGGGGGGAAAGTTGCTGAGCTTCCCTAACTGGAATAAAAACCCTTTGCTTTCTAGATCCCAGGAACCAATAAGATTCATCTCATTTATCATCCCAAATGTTGTATTTGAACAGAAAACACAATGCCTTGGAGCTTTTTATTGTACTTGAGTTTTGTCACCTAGGTATAGCAAGTCTTCTCAATTTTTCTCTTCTCTTTGCATTCTCTCCTAGGAAGCTTCCTTAGCCCCTGACAGTGCACTCTCTCCAGAGGCTCTGGCTTTACTGATGTGCCCGTAGACTCTCCTTTGGGCTGTATAGACCTTATTCATCATCTTCCTCATTAATACACTAACAGTAACATGGCAACTGCTGAGCAGTTATTGAAAAATTAGATTCCTATTATTGGAAACACAGATTCTAAAGTGTGATAGACACATCTGGAAAAGGGAAGTGGATGAAGTGTAATACCAAAGGTCACACTGGGTTTGTAATAAATCTGAGTGCACAATATGATTCTACAAATAGATGGACCCGTGCTGCTTCCTCCATGGTCAAGTAGATTGTTGTAGTGGGTGTTTAGACTACAATAAATGGTTGTATGTTTTCTTCCAGGGCGGACACCCTGGGTCTATGGGGCCTCCTTCTGTTGCCCCATCATTCCGGCCAGAAGATGAGCTCGAGCACCTGACCAAGAAGATGCTGTATGACATGGAAAACCCCCCTTCTGATGAATACTTTGGTGAGTGGGATTTGGAGCTGAATGCCTAAGGAAATGCTCGTTCCATTTTCCCTACTGAGGAAGTGGAGTTATGATCAGCTGCACTGGTGCCGTGTTTGCATCCAGTGCATGAGAGGTAGTGTTTATGCACACAGCACTGTGCATTTCTCACCAGACCACCATGGAGAAGAAATGCAGTCTGTTTGTACTCAAAATCTCACTGGTTCTTACAGTTAATTGATATGCACAATCAAGACACACTTCGGATGATTTATTAGCTTCACACAAGGCAAAAATAGATCATAGTTCATCTTGTGTCCATGTAGCTCTAAATACTTATGAATAACTTGGAAATTGATATGGCTTAACTGTATTCTCGAGTCTTATCATGACTGAATTCAGGAGGGAGAAATACCTCTTTCTGTTTGTCACTTCTTCCCTCTTCTAAACTATGAATAACTATGACTAGTTAGTGTTATTCTTCCCAGTCCATCAGTGCAAGTTGGAGGTACGTGTCATTTGTGAGATGCTGTGGACAGTCAGGGGAACTGTGATGCAGAAGGGATGAGACACACACACATACAAGTGATTGTGAGTGTGTGGAGGAAAAGCCAGGAGTCCTCTGTACTCTCTGGGAACACTGAAGAGCAGGAAGTCACACTTGAACCTGAAGCCTCTAAACCAGTCTTCAATGTAGAGATTGTTTGCCATTCTGTCTTTTTTTTTTAAAAAATGGTATTTTTGTAGCATGTAAGTAAATTAATTCTGGGAAAATAAATTTAAAACTGCAACATATTAAACTGTGAAATAGGAGGTGAAGTTTTATCATGACATTTAAGAGACACTAAATTATTCACTTAAGCTGATATAATCGTTTCTAAACATTTTTTTCTCCACTGCATGTTAGTCTCATCACATGCTCTCAGAGTAGGTTCTCGAAGGATATGTAGAGAAAGGCCACATGGGTCTCAGTAACGAGTAAAGGCTCCAAGGCAGAGAACTGGACAGGCTTTTGCATCCTCAGATATCCCTGGCTTCATGACTTCTCTTTAATGTGTTTCTCTGTTGGGGACTGTGGACCCCCAGACCATGAATTTTCTATGACTCTTTGCCCAATGGAGTAAACAGTTTGTTTTCCTGTGCTTGCAGCTGCTCTGAGCAACCTAAGAGCCTGATGTCAGGAGAATGGTTTCTGGTGGGCTTGCAGCTGAAGGATCCCCCAGAGCTAGGGCGTGGCCATTGGTCAGAGAAGGCACTAGATAAGCTGCCCTGGAACACAATAAAGTTGGCATTCTTGATTCAAGGGGACATTCTTTGTATTCTTGTTTCAAGGATGACCCGTGTCGTGTCTCTGTGTATGTGTGTGTTTCAATCTCAAGCCCCTTGCCTGGCCATGAACCATCCTATAGTGCAGGTGGTAAGCTACAGGAGTAGTACCGTAGTACATGTAGTACAGGTTCTACAGGACCGTAGTACACGTAGTAGTACTGAATACACAGTGGAAGAAAAACTGAGGCCCCTGGCCCAAAGCTGGAAGTGTATGGAGGAGGGAAAGCAAACACTTTGTACACAGATGTTTCTATAGTTTAGCTCAAAGGGTATGAGGTGGAAATAGAGAGTTCTGATCCTTGAGCTTGGGAGATGGCTCAGCTGCTGTTCTGGTTTGTTTTGCTGTTCCTCTCCCTAAGTGGCATGACCAAAAGCAACTTGGAGAAAGAATGGTTTGTTTCACTTTGCAGGTTACAGTCCATCATTGAAGGAAGTCAGGGCAAGAACTGAAGGCAGAAACCGTGGAGGAATACTGCTGCTTACTGGCTTGCTTTCAGGCCTGCAGCCACCTTTCTTATACAACCCAAGCCTACCTGCCTAGAGATGGTACCACCGATTGTGGACTAAGCCCTCCTATGTCAGTTAGCAGTCAAGAAGATTACCCATAGACACGTTGGCCACAGATCGGCACACAGGCCAGTCTGATGGGATAAAACCCTTCAGTGATGGTTCTTTCGTCCCTGATGTGTCAAGCTGACAGTCAAGATGTCAGTAGTTGACATGGTAACCGTTTAACCCTCGACCCACATAGGGGAACAGAACTGTCTGCTGCGAGTTGTCGTCTGAATTCACAAGCATACTGTGGCTCGTACATCTCTCGGGCTCATTCCCTGGGCCTCTGCACACACTCAATAAGCAAGTAAATGTTAAAAAATATTTTTATATAAAAAAGAAACCTGATTCTGGTCCCTGCTGCGCCCCTGACTAGCTAAGTATTGCTAGCAGGTCCCTCTACTGCCTGAACCTCGTTTCCCACCTTGGTGATTCAAGGTGTATAGAACAAACGACCCCTTGCATTTCTTTCAACACTAGCAAATTCACAGTGGAAACAACAACAGTGAAGTAAAATGGTGAGGCTATACATGAGACTGTGGGAGTTGGCACAAGCACATGGAAAATAGGAAGATGGAAACAAGCAAAGGTATCCGCTTATATCAGGGGATAGGGAAAGTTTATTGCACTCTTCTCATTGTAATAGGAGGAGGGTGGGTGTTAGCATCCACGATAAACTGAAGAAAAAGTTAATGATGAAAGGAAAGCCATCTGTAATTATATTATATTAAAAGTGAAAAGCTAAATTCTAAGTGTGCGTGTTCCAGCTATTGTGCAACAAAATCTACAGTGATAAAAAAAAGTAAACCGAACAACTAGATCAATGGGCAAATGCTACACACTCAGAAAACAGATAAAAATGACCTTCGAGCTCTCTTAACTTTATGGCAGACTAGCTTAGAAAACTCTGAGCCCAAGATTCTCTAGGCTTCCTCTGGTGCTCTTTCCTCCACAGCGTGGAAATAGCTGTCTTACACTGTGATTGTGAGCAATACATGAAACATTTATAGAGCGCACTCAGCCAAGGTCTTGGCATGTAGAATGTGTTCGATAATCAGAGTTCACCAAAGCTCCAGAGACATGCAGCTTATTTAAGAAAACAAGATATCCCTATTAAAAAATCCATCAATAACATTTGATTTAAATTTAAGTTCTAGCAAAAGTAAAAGGTGCGTCACCGGCAGTCAAAGTAATCATTGCCAAGTGGAGTTTGTTATCCGTGAGAGAGAGAGCTGGGGAAGGGGCTGGGTTTTACTGATTGTTTGTGCTGTGGCATTACTAGTTTATGAACTTCAGAAATTAGCTTATTTCACCCTTATGGAGGAATATAATCCTGTGAAGTAGATGTCACTATCATCTTCCCATTAGAGAATTAAGGCCCAGGAATAGTGTTTACCCGGTATCACCAAGTAATAAGCTGCAGAACTGCATTGAAAACTGTACACCTGGCCTATATCCTTGAACACCATGCTCTCAGATGGAGAGAGTTAGATCGTAAACTCAGGGAAGGGTTTAGAGGGGAGATTGCCTTTGGAGAGACGGGCAATTAAGGATGGGGATTCTCTTCTAAATAAATAAAAACAACATGTAAGTGATGCCACGATTGTGTGGAAAACCTGGGTGTGGTTCTGGGCAGGCTAATCTCGCGGTGTTTGTCACAGGCCTGGGTTTTCCCTTGGAAAATATTTATGTCTCACAGGGTCCAGTGAAAAATTATGGTGTGTTACTGTAACAAGAACACAAAGTGATATGTGACTTCATCCACGTTCAGCCACCATTCTGAGAAACTTCAGGGAAAGAAGGCATATCTAGAAGCAGCAATAGAAAGACAGTTATGGAGGCCTTAAGCTTTCAGTGAGCCTTTATACTTAGTTTAATTAAACTTGGGAAATAGGAAGATCATAGAGAAGTGGGGCCATTTCTGATGAGGAAACTTTTGACACAAAATGCAGGGGGCCAGAGGCAGATAGTGGAATAGAAGCCCCCGTGGCAAATATCACGCTTGAAGGAAAGAGTCAGTGGAAACAGGTTCAAAGGGTTTCTAATCCCTGACTGTGGCCTTTGGACTTCACCTTCTCTAAGGAGTCACCTGCTGGCACCTAGTGCTAAGGACTGTCCATGGGAAGTTTTCACAAGCATAGCCTCAGCGCGTAGTTTGAATGCCATCTTGGCTCATGTTGCTCAGCAACGTAAAGTCAGGATCCTCCCTGTGCTAGTTGGGTCACTCAGTAAGTGACCATATCCACAGATTGGCCTGAGAACATGATTTAGGTGTGTTTGAAATTTTAGAGGAAAGAAACCCATCAGGGGCCCAGCCTGATAACTCCTGAAAACATAAGTAGCCAGTGAAATGGACACGGACAGTAGTAACATAGGCAAGGCATGGGAAAGTTGGAAATTCCCAGTCAGTATGGAGAACTAATGTTTGAACAGACAAAGCAAAATCTTTGCAAAATGTAGCTGAAGAATCATCTCTCTGATGTTGAAGCTGATGGTGACTCCATCTTTCATCCTGAGCCCGACTCTGACATTATGACTTAGTTTTCTGAAGTCACCCTTAGTAGATGGGCCTGTGAAAGAGTCCATTGCATCTAGTTTAAATGCCAGCACTCGGGAGGCAGAGGCAGAGAGATCTCTGAGTTCAAGGCCAGCCTGGTCTATAGAGTATGTTCCAGGACATCCAGGGCTACATAAGGAAACTCTGTCTCAGGGGGAAAAAAGTGTGTGTGTGTGTGTGTGTGTGTGTGTGTGTGTGTATTTAATGAGTCGGATTAAAGTTTTTAAAAAGACATTTTAAAACCCTTGCTTGCCTCTTCTGTCATCTGAGCTAGACAGCAGCGTGGGTAAGAGGGCAGTAAATTCCTTTCTATCCATAGATGAAGAAACCCCGGGAAGCAGGTCCTAATGAGCTCCCCTGCTCTCCAGGACACTATGCTGCCCTCGCTGTCAGAGCGCCAACAAGGAGCAGCATGGCTCTGGCTCAGACCTTCAGACCCGTCTCTTCTCTGCTCTTCTTTCACCGTGTTGCCGAGCTGGTCACGGACCAGTTAGATCAGTTACCGTGCTGTGTCTGAGCTTTCAGATCTTTACCGAGAGCCGGGTGATTGCTTTGGAAATTGCTTCGCGAGTCTTAACTAAGG